CACATGTGTTTTCACACTTAATACTATTACTTTGTTATTTAAATAAGTAAATTTTTAACTTAATGTTTATGTTTATAATAGAGTCGACAGAATGCTTACGAAAGACACGTATTTAGAGGGCATTTATTTGCCAAAAGGCACGTCTATTGTTATACCCATTTGGGCCCTGCATTTAGACCCTGATCATTTTGGCGACCCCTATGAGTTTAAACCGGAAAGGTTCCTACCGGAAAATCTAAATGATATCAAACCGTATACATACCTACCCTTCTCTACCGGTCCGCGCAATTGCATTGGTATGCGATTCGCTGTATTAGAGCTCAAGTATACGTTAGTTAAGCTGTTGTGTAGGTATGAGTTTGTGCCATGCGATGAGACCAAGGTTAGTTTAATTTTTGTTTTCAGTTATTCGTGCTTAAATAATTATTTTAAATTTATTTAACTTGATAGGAAATGGACTATTATAATTCATTGGTACAAATAGCCAGTGTTAGACGCATGTTGGTTAAGATTAAACACCGTGATGGCATTATTAATAATCTTTAATTTATTTTATTACGATTTTTTGTAATTATAAAAATTTATTACAAATTGATTAAATAATTTTCCAAACTAATTATTATAATAATTTTAGTTATTATTCACAGAATTGAATTAATTGTAATCTTTATTGTAAATAGGAGATGGATTATTTTAACACCCTGATGCAAATTGCAAATATAAGACGCACGATATATAATATAAGCTATATACATTTTTATCATAATTATTTTTAATAATATGGGTAAAGATTTTGTAAACAAAGTAACATTTTTAATAAAGATGTGGAAAATTAGTTGATAGTAAAATTAAAAATGTTTAATTAAACTAGTTAATTGAAACTTAATAACATATTGGCTCAAAATATGTTATTAATAATAACTTCTTATTATAAAGAATATATAAAAAATATAAATCATTAACAATTCAAAAATATCCAAAATTTAATTACATGTATGTTCAATATTTAATTTAAATTCAGTTGAAACCTAAAATTATTAATATTTTTGATTATTTTAATAGATAACATAGACTTCAAATATAGATTTACTGTTTATAAATAGCAAACAATTAAGTAACAAATTAATAATTTTATTTATACTATTTAAACATGCAAACTCTAATCATTTAATAAGTGTTTATTTTGGATTTTATTAATAATGTTTGGTAATTAATTCAAATTTATAGTATTAATTTTAATTTTATTTATTTTGCATGTGCGTAAACAATTATTTAAATTTGGAAATTTGATTCTGATAATATTATAAAATTTTTTATAATAATAATAATACAATTAAAATAAATAAAAACATACACAAATTTGTTTAAAATTAGTAATATATTTAAAATAAAATACTAACATTTAATTAATTAAAACCCTATTTTATTTTAAAAGTATTGCATAACATGCATTATAAGTTTTTACATAATATTTAATGATTTTGTTTAATAAAATTGAGTTTTATGATAAATTAAAAATTATTGTCAAAGTTTGTCATATATCCAAACATATTTTGTTTTGCAATGAATATGAACATGATAATAATTTTATAATTACATGCTTACAGTTTATATTGTATTTTATCAAAATATTTATTTCACATGATTATTTATTGTTAGCATTATAATGTGTAAACTTGCATGTGCTGAAAAAAATGTTAACCTCATAACCCACTGACCCTTCACTGCGACCCCCGTTTGCAGTCCCGACACGTATTGACCGCTTGTATGCCATTGCGTGCGATCTCATCGATACAGTCGACGAACCGGTGATCAAACACCGGGTGTCCGGACAAGCGGTCAATGATTGCCATTTGTTGGTCCAGTTTATGCTGTATTTCGGTTATCAACGCATCGATACTATCGATCTTCTGGTTGAGTACCGATTGTGAGCTCTGTATTGAGTTCTCGTTCAGACCCACTCGAGTGCCTAAAATAATATTTACTTAAAAATTATCACTTGACATATAAAAGTAGCACATTTTAGATAAACACTCTAGGTAAAATGATTTCATATAGACAATTACTACAAATAATAATAGTTGACAATCTCCGTAAGTAGTTAAGCACTTAAACTATTTTAATAGTTAAATAGATGCAAAATATATCATTTACAGTTTGATAACAAGCCTAATTAGCAACATCAAATAATAAATAAACAAACAAATACCAATCGTATCGATGGTGGTCTGCATATGGCCGACCTTGCTCATCACATCCAATTGACCATATTTATAACTCTCAATAATGCTTTTAATATCCAATGGGCGCAATAAATCCACAAACCGTTGTTTGGCAATAAAGAACTTGGTCAAATAAATGAACTTTTTCTCAATAGTTTCGAAGTAGTAAAACTTGTATATATCGGTCGGGCGGTGACCAAAAAACCTGGATGTTTCATTATACTTTACATTGGCCTTGCTCAATCGCCACGCGCATTGTATCAAGGTGGCTGCCGCTGCTTTTTTCTTGCGCCGCTGCCGATTACGCTCCTCCTCCTCGATCTTAAGGGCCAATCCGGCGCCGATAATACCGGCCGGCAGTGCGAATATGGCCACACCTAACACCGTAAACACGCTAGATACTAGTTTGCCCAACCAGGTTACCTAGAATAAATTAAAAATATTTAATTAAATAAAGTTAATCTACTGTTATGACAGAGTATGAGATTTATATGCCAAGGTCAGTTCATTGATAATTAATAAATCTAACATTGCAATAATTTAATTAAACGAGTTAATTAATTTGCAAATCAATTTTAATATAAATGTTATAATGATAGTTATAAATTAATAACCTACCGGAATTCGATCCCCATAGCCTACCGTTGACAATGTTACCACCTTAGTTGAATATAATAAACAAACATTATTATTTAATATATTTAATACAAATAATAATCTACACCAGGTGTAGTTGACCATGTAACTTACCGACCACCACATAGCCTCGGCGATATTATCAAACTGTTCGTTATCATCCTTTTCCACAATGTAGGAAATGTAGGCCAATATACACAACACAATAAACTCTATGTAGAATATAATAAACAACTGTTCCCTCTGGTCGTAGATCACCGACGATAGCACTTTCCAGGGTTTTAATTGACGGTTAAGCGTAACGATCTGTAGGACTGAGAAAAAGCGGTGAAACCCCCGGAAGGCCGACACCGCAAACACCTCCGACCCGTTGCGCGTATGTATGGGTATAACGATTAGTATTGATGAGCATATGATTATGAGGTCCAGTACGTGGGCTGGTACAGATAGGTAGGTGATTTTACCACGCCAACCCTCGTATTGTTGCTTGCACGATGATGACCATAGCCGTAGTATGAACTCGAAACTGAACCAGATGATTATGAATTTTTCGAATAGGTAGATGAATTTCCACGCGCTGGATGCGAATTTGCCTAGGTGATTAGTGAATTATAATTAGTGTTAATTAGTTCTTTTTAGATGTTTAACAAATTGTTTGGGGTAAAAGGTAGAGAAAAGAGGTAAACTAGTTAATTCAATTATTAAAATAAATGTAATATAAAATTATTAGGTTATTCTAAAATATAAATTGGCAGTTTTTAATGAACCAAATATATATTATTTATATTAAACATTTATTTCACGTGATCATTTATTGTTAACTATTATTATTTATAACTGTTAATCTTACAACTTTACAAACCTTCACTTAAACTTCCGTTTATAGTAACGCATATTAATAATTAAAATTACAAAAAATGACAGTTAATAACTAATTTGTCTAGTTAAACTCAAGTTAGATTATTTTAACATTAGTTAAATTAATAAATAACTCACGCATATAAATAATATGAAAGTGATAATGTACTATAATTGTATAATTATTTGGCACAGCCTACCTATGTTGGAGAACACGGTAACAATGAGACCGGCGAACACAAACATGAACACCAATATGTGATAACTTCTGGCCCAAAAACTCTGCGGATTATTCAAAAAGTTATACACCTTGAGCTTTTCCTGATAGTTAATGGTCTTGGTGAATTCTGGATCAGTAAAATACACGGTAATATCGGGATCCGAGCCATCCATGTCTTGTAGGTCCGACTTTTTGCGTTCCCTTATCTCTCGGCGCTCTTTCACTTCGGACAGTATTTTTTTGAGCCGTTTGGCGCCAACCGAGTTGTCGTTTGCCACGACTGTAGTTGCGGTACTACTAGTGGTAGTACTTGTGCTACAGTTGGCCACTAAGGCCTGACCCGTCGGTGGCGGACAGTTGACCGGACCGTTGACGTGACCGTTGACACCGCTAACCGTTACCGACTGCCGCCGACCAGCACTGCCCGGCGCTGTACTACTCGATCGCCGCTGTTTACGGTATAGCGATAGTGGGTGTACCGATGATAGTTCGCGTTGCACTCGGGTTAACATTTTATCTAGGTGCCCACAAATTATATAAATAATTATTTTTTGGTTATTAATTATTATTATTAAATTTTTAATTATATTTGTAACAAATATTTGTGATTTTTATTACACTTTATTGATTTAATTAATGTGTTGTTTCAAATTAATTTGGTATTTATTTTACATTAATGAATTAGTGATTTATTGCGTTTGCATTTGCTGTAAGTTTGTTTATTTTTAAATGTCAACGTGATCGATAAAGTTTAGGCATACATATAATTAAGTGTATTCATAGTGATATACGTTTATATATTACATCTAGATTAAATTAATTCCTTAATTGTATTATTATAAAAATAATTAATTCAATATAATTAATACTATTTGTTTTAAAACAAACAATTTTAAGATAGTTATTATTTATTAATTGCTTATTTTTTAGCAACCATAGTAAATTAAGTAAATTGCCCTGCATGTTTAATTGTATAAATATAAATGTCACTGATATGATCAACATTGATATTACCCTTTATGGAAAATGTTTGACATAAACAACATTTATATAAAACATATGTTTGAGATTGTAATAGATATACAATATTTTGTTGATAACATTCGTTACAATTTATCATTAATTTACTATTAATTAAAAAGTGAATATTTGTAATCTATAATTATAGTAAAATATTACATAGATTTAGTATATTTTAAATGTACAAACCTCATTAAAACACATATCACCTACAAGTGATTACCATATTATTTTAATTAATTATTTTAATAAATATTAATACACGATTAAATATATTTGCGCGAGCATAACATACTGTTTTGCATAATTTATCAGGTTTAAAATAATTTCAGTTTTTTAACATAATGTAGTACATTTGAAACAATGCTACAGCATAATGATTATTTAATTGATAAATAATTGTAAAGCACAATTGTTTATACAGTATATAATAAATTATGGAAGACCTTGGTTATGTGTAAAATAAATTCAAAATTTTCCTGGTATTGAATTTTGCATTATTTTTAGCAACATCATAAATATACAGAGAATGGAGCAGATAAATCTGGACAACAATTAAATCTTATTACTTTAAACATGGTTAATTCAGATGGATATTATGTATATCAAATTAAAAAATATTTATCGAGGTTTATTAATTATATTAAAAATAAATTTTAATCTAAACCATAACTGAATTTAACCCCCTTTTTCAAAATGTTGCCTAAAACTATTTTCCAGCCCATATTAAAGTATACCATTGTATCTAAACTTATATGTTATTTAAATTTACATTTTTAATTGACGACATGATACAATTACAATATATGACAGAAGCGTGTTATTATTTTATTCAACAATTAATATTGTTTTATTTTTTAAACAAGAAATTATAACTATTTATGAATTATTGTAAATATAATTACACGATAGTATAATTGTTTTAAATTTATTATGATCATAAATCTAGATATGTTATTGATTTGGGGTTTTAACTGTTATAAGTGTTTTCCATACCACAACACAAACTTACATGGACAATTTTTGGGTAGTGGACATAGAATAGATTTTAATTATTTTTAATAAAATTTTATAACTATTTGTGGAAAATATTTTATTGAAAATTAATTGTAAACATTAACAAATTATTGTAGTTTAATTGACAAATTTATATTGAATAAATTAATATTATTATTATTGATACTATTCTTCCAGTTTAATATTGTTGTGTTAAAAAAATAAAACAAATTAATTGTTGAATAAAATAATAATATAAACTAAAACAACTTCTTAAAAATAACTAAACTACTTAAAATAACTAATATTAATTATCAATAATTAAACACCCTAGTGCTTTAGAAAATAGTTAAAAATTAACTACAAGTTTGATAAGTATCAGTTATATTAATCTCGGGCCACAACTGAGATATACAGCGATTCCAATGATTTGATCATTGGATGCGTTTTGACAATTGGCGGCACTTTTGTGTCCTTATGGACGGCAAACCGGAAGCGACGCAACACGTGATACAACGCCAGCTTAGTCTCCAACAACACGAACGGCATTCCCACACAAACCCGGGGACCGGTACTG